TAAACACCAAAGAAGTAGTACAGCATTCTTACTAATTCAAGATTTATTACTTCAGAGGTTAGTGCAATTCTTACATGATTTATTCAAAATATTACGTAATAGGTACCCTTATCTGTTATTATTAATAAGAATTATTAATTTCGACCGATCAGAACACAACATTTCGAAGCATTAGAATTTAATGAGTACTATTTACTGGGTCTTTTTAATTGAAACCGAATTTACTAAAAATACTAATGCTAATCGAATTATTAACCGAGTACGTACGTACGTTGAAGAGATCCGAATTTAATCACAATAGCCCTTTAAGAATAGGATCGAAACACCACTTTTTAATATTATGTAAATAATTAAATAAATAATCCCGATACAATAATAGGATTTAGGTAGAGAGATCGATGAGTTTTCGAGTATACATGCCGCAGAAACTATTTCGGCTTTGCCGAAAATATTTCGGCATTTATAATTTCGAGCATCGTTTGGTCACAAACACTGGATTTTCGAAAATTTTGACCGAATATTCGAGTTTTTTTGAATTTTATCAATTGTACAGTACTATTAAATCATTTAATATTCGACAAAATTTGACAGATTTCGATACTCGAAAGTTTTTGATCGTTGATCAAAATAATTCATTTTCTAGATTTAGGTTTATTTTGTAAAAATTTTTGCATTATCATGCTATATATTTTATTAATAACTAGAGATTGGGACCCTACCAGATTACTCGAGTTATCCGGTAGTACCCGGAACCGATTCCTATTATTTTTCATAACAATTTTTGGATTCATTTAGGCATTTTTTTCACAAACACAAGATCATTTATTGATAATAAAAAAAGATAATACGAATTATCATCAAAAGAAACAGTGCTTCGAAAAATTTTAATTCTTTAAGCGGTTTTAAGAATTTAATATCTTAAAACAGTCTTAAGAATTTAATATCTTAAAACAGTCTTAAGAATTTAAAAAGCGAAAATAAAACTTGAATCACAAGCTTTTTTTCATATTTAATTGTGAATAAATAAATAAAGGCCTTACATTATTCCTTAATTCGGAATCCTTTATTGTAAAAATCATATTTTCACCAATTAAATTCTACAGTAACAACTCGAACAACTAGAATAATTTTTGACAATAACAAATTATCTTAGGTTCATCCAATTCAGCAATTTCTTTGGCATTCATCATCCTATTCTATTCTAACCGATTTCTAATAAAAATATATTATATTTGAGTACCAGCAAAGGAAAACTTCGGACCGAAAATTTAAGTTTATTATTTATTATTCGCCATATTCAGTCATTCAGTCCTAATAAAAGACATATCGATATCGGTATATGATACGTAATTAAATTTATTCACGTATCCTATACGTAACTTATGTTTTGAATTACGACCGAGTCTAGCAAATAATAAATTAATAAATTTAAATTCACGGTTCCTTGCCGGCACTCATCTATTGTTTTTACCATCAGAATGCTGAAATCAGGTGTTCCCCCAAATTGACAAGGTTAGGCGTAATCCAAGCATATGCGAATGAATTTATTCTGACTAATATATATAACGATATATTGACAATATATAATCTTAGAATTGTCGGAATTCAATATTGTGCTCATACGTAATTTTTATCTACCTATTAATAAATCGATATGCATTAATTTATTTTTTGACAGTTTGTAAAACAATATATATAAAATTCACATAATACGTACGTACGTCTGAGCTATTGTGTTCCATTTAGGAATATATTCGGAAGTTCAGATAATTTCATAATCAAATAACACTGTAATCCTGAGCGTTAAACAAAAAAAAAAAAATGCCAAAATGTCAAAATAAACGTGGAAAAAATGGAAAAACATCAAAAAAAAAAAAAAAAAAAAAAAAAAAAACGTGGAACAATTAAAACTGAAGATCTAATATAAATCAAATTTTTGGAAGTCGACGATGATGACAACTAATACAATAGTCAGAATTATTCATTATTCATAACTAACAAGATGTTATACATTCAAGAGTTTTGAGTTTCAATGATTCACTGACGATTCAAGTCAAAATATGTATTTTTGGTTTAAACTTATTACCTTTTTGAAATTTATAGATTTAAGAGGGTGTGGAATCTAATGTCTTAAGATTTCGAATGGAGACAATGGAGACACATATGAGTATTTACAGAGTACTCATAAAAACCATAAAAAACGCGAAAACAATTTTGTACAAAAAAGACATGAAGCTCGCATAATAAAATAATATATGAAACATGAAAATCGTATAAAAAGAAGCTTTAAAAATTAGTTTTGTTCTTTAATTTTCAAACGTGTGATGAATTGAATATGTGATTGGTGTATTATAGGCCATATGTACTACTCGCCTCGCGTGATGAATCGCGTTATTAACGTTAAGCTATCTCAATCTGGTATTAGTTCCTGAAAAAAAAAAAAAAAAAAGTTTTAGTTTTAGTAGGTAGGTACTGTACGTCTGTACGTACTTGTGAGATTATCTGTCAAAAAGAATAACCGGGTGTCAGGTGAAATCAAGTTTTGTGGCTGACAAAATTAAAAATCGGTTGGGTAGCTCATTAAGTAAAGACTTTCAATGCCTGATTTATGAAATTTTTAATTTTTTTTTTATTTGCATCGGGATAGGTGCAAAGAAGATTTCCTAGACGGGACAAAATTTCAAATTTGTTAATTGAATTTTTAATTACAATTTTAAGCATGTGATCAGAGTAAAATTATTCTTTAATAGGTTAGTACCTTTTATTATGGTCTGTCTGTTTTCATATTCTAATCATATTTCAGTATTTGAGATTCGGGGGGGTTGCCATTATTGTTGAATTAAAAATTTTTTTTTTTCTTGGGCTTTTTTTTTTTTTTTCTCGTCAGATTGACAAATTTTGCGATATTGAAAGTTTTGAAAATTATTGGATTGAAAATTACTGGAAATTACTGGAAATTAATGAAGATTATGTTACAGATTATGTCGTTGAAAGTGTGGAAGCAAACTGAAAGCATTCTTAAGGTTTTTAAGTATTAAAAATCTATAAGCTTGAATTTTAGATGTCATTAAATTGACTTCTTCCATATCCAGAATATAATGTACAGACACTTCGAAATAGATGATCACGTGCATACACTGTATAGTACTTGTTTCCTTATGTAGAATTGGATGTAAGGTGTCTTAATTTGTGTAATGAAAATAGATTTTCCTTGGGAAAACAAACATTTCCGGATTTACAGTTTTTCACAACAAAATGCTTGTTCATTATCGCGTTAAACCTAAAAAAAATCGTTAGCCGGAAAATTATTACCATAATTTTTGTTCAAAAAATTTTTTTCTTGTCATTTCATGCTATTGGAATCTATTGGAATTTGGCATAATTTCAAATTTTCTTGATTGTAAATTCCGTGGATTTCGATACAGAAAATCACGGAATTTTCATCCATAAAAGGGATTCTTTCAACGAACTCGATTCTGTAATAAGCTTAGATTTAGTTTTGACAAACTACTCTCAACTTAAAATGGTGTACTCACAACTTAAAATGGTGTTGCAAAAGATAAACCATACCCAAGTCAAAATATAGACCAAATAATCGTGGGAATAAAAACGTGTAAAATTGATTGAATATTATTTGCCAGAGTCTTATAGAATCTTATAAAATCTTATAAAATCTTATAAAATCTTATAAAATGAATCATGACGTAAGACACTCCAAAATTTTTTTAAAAAGGGCACATTCCGGCACTTCTGATGTGAACAAACAATTTTACGTCTAATTACGTTTTAATTAAATGAAAAAAAGTATACATTCTCTTCTAGAGTCATTAATGCCAAATATCCTAAAAATAAACCAATTTTATTGAAACGAATTTATTAAAATGGTTCAATACGGATATCCAATCGGTATTTATTGTTCTTTTAATGAAAAGGTTTTCAGAATTATTCATTCATAATTAACTAACCTATTATTGGTGTTGTCAATTTAGTTGATGAACAAGGACTCTTTACGTGTTACGCTCCTCATAAAGTACAACAAATTCGACTCAAGCGGTCGAGAACAAAATTCCAAGTAATCGGTAAACGTGATGAAATTATTGATTGGTTGGAAAAGCACCGCAATGTTGTATGTGAATACATACATCATGATGATCAAGAATTCGATTGTCAAAAACGAGGAAGCACAAGATCCAAAAGGTCTACTAAATCTGCTACGGAACGTGCAATCCTCTTATTTGAGCTTTATTATGATCAAGAAAATGAAAAAGATTCATCTCATAATACTATGATTAAAAAGATTCTCCCCTTCAGTGGAAAAAAGCGAATGGTTTTGGAAATCAGACCGTACGTTCGTGGAGAGGAGTATGAATATAATAAGAATTTAATCCGAAGAAATGTTGGTGTGAGTGGTGTAGCATTACGACAGATTTTGGACGTGTGGACGAGTACTCCTTGTTCACGTCGTCAACGAAATCATAGGGTGGGGTGTGATTATGAATAAGTCAAGTTGCTTATTACAGTATTATTACAGTATTATTACAGTATTATTACTGTATTAGCAATTTTTTTTTTTAAAAAAAAAAAAAATCTAATAATAATATATATCATCTTATGTATGCTTTCATCTTTGTATATGATTCATGTAACAATTTCCCTACTTCTTTTTCTTTTTACTTCTTTTTACTTCTTTCTACATCTTTTTCTAGGATATATATACAAGCTGATTTTTCCTTTGTTGTTCCCGGGAGCAATGGAATGATCATTTTTAAATTAATTAATTAATTATTGAATTAGTTTATTTATTTATTTATTTGTTTGTTATTTGTTTATTTACAATTCCTGCAATTGTGTAATTGACAGATAAATAACGATAAATAAATAGATATTATTTAAGCTTTCTTTAATTAAGTATAGATTTCACAATATAAACTGTAATTTATTTTATATCGATATATTTTATCGTAATTAAATAAAGCGTGCCATTAAATAGAGCATGCTATTAATCATTCCGCGTGTTTTTTCGCGGACCATATAGAATAAATGTATGGATTTATTTAAAAGCTAAAGTTTAGTTTTTCTTCTAGTTTTCCTTCTAGTTTTTCTTCTAGTTTTCCTTCTAGTTTTTCTTCTAGTTTTCCTTCTAGTTTTCCTTCTAGTTTTCCTTCTAGTTTTCCTTCTAGTTTTCCTTCTAGTTTTCCTTGGACGTTGCCCATTACTGTATTATACATGTGACTGAAATATTTCGCCTTGCGTTGAAGCTTTTACAGCTTATAATGTAACTAATTTAACTAACTTTCTGCTCTGGCGTTGCTTTTTTGTCTATTAAAATGTTATTTAATTTCATGTATTTAATTTATTTAATTGATAATGAAACTGATAAGAAATATAAATATAAATGTAAATATAGAGATAAAATAATATAAAGAAAAGAAAAAGAACAATTTTAATAAAAGAAAATTATAATATAATACCTTGAAAATTTTTTTTTTTTTAAATATTAATGGTAAGACCATGTCTCTGTCTTTATTAAAATTTAATTTAACTCTCTTACAAAGCAAAGATCATACAGAAGTATAACTCTTATACAAAGAAAAGAATAAATTTAAACTTCATATCCTAAGATAGCAAGAAAAGAAACTCAGACTAATTTATCTGTGGCCTAAACCAACTAGGGTGGCCATGGCTTACCTAGATTTGTAGATTAGTAATTATATAGTTTAAGTTTGTTTGGTATTTAATCTATAGAGGATACCAAAGTTTTATTTTAGTGCAAACAAAAGTAGCAGGTAGAGGTTGTGAGAGTTGAGAGGGTTGAAAAAGTAAAGAAAAAGGTAGAGAAGATAGAGGATTACTAAGAGGCTGGACCAAAGAACAGATAGTACAATAAGGTATCCAAATATTATGATAAATTTGTAAATTAAGATGTAAAAGAAATTTAATAATAATAGTAGAAGCTAATTTAGCAGATGATGTAATGTTTTTAATTAAATTTATCATATCAAGAGAAATAAAACCAAATAGAGTTGAGTTAATAAATAGGATATGATAGTTGTAATGAAACATCATACTATCTAAATTTTTAATTTGGTTATAGAGTGTAGTGATTGATTCTTGTGCAATATCTAATGATATAGAGTTAATAACCTGTTGTAAGGAATTGTCAATAAGGTTTTGAAATAATGTTGGTAATAGGCAAGTAACTCAATGTAATAGGGTAATTATCTGGTTGCAGTGATGATAATTTGATGAAGAATAGTAATTATGTTTATATAATATATGAGGTGTAGGCAACTCATCAAGAAGAATTTTAACTTGAAATAATTTGAGAGTAGAAGACTGAAAACTGTGTGAAAAATTGAACTTTTTTGATTATTGTTTATATAAAGCCATATAGCAGGTTAGTTAATATAAGTAGCAATTTGTGACTACTATTGAAATCTAAATTGAGATAACCACAGAGCATAAATATATGCATAACAGATAGTACAGATAATATATCGAACTGGTAACTCAAAAAGATATTCATCAAATTGGAGAGTATAGTTAGGATTTTAAATATTATATAGCTTAAAGAGAAGAAAATCTAAAGTAAGGTGACAGTGGGCTAGTTGATCAGCAAGATTGTTAAACTGGTCTTCTTTATATGCAGTAACTTTATAAAAAATAATTTGTAGCTTATATGATTTAATAAAATTAATAAGAATGCACCAAAGTATAAAGTATGATGAATTGTAAAAAACAAAGTAGATGGTGATTCTTTAAAACTTTTATATTTGAAGATAACAGATTATGAATCAGTAAAGATGTGAATCATACAAGATCTAGGTACTGTAATAATAGCTGATAGGATAGCAACAAGTTCTACTTTAAAAGAATATGGCCAGTATTTAATTTAAGCTTGAAATTTGTGTAGTATATTGTTTTGATAAATCTGTACCCATCTAATAACCATAGAGCAGTTTGGTAAGCTGAGGTTAAGAACTGATCCATCTGTATAGAACATAATTTCAAAGAGTTGAATATTTGAGTTAGCAATAGTTTGAAAAGTATTGGTAAGAAATTTAGATTTGAATATAGATAGAATTAAAGCAATGTTATGAGAGATATTAGAAATAGGTAAAATATAAAGAGGATGATGAATAGCAATAGAGTATATTAAATCTAAAAAATTTGTATAAGATTTAATAGCTTTGTTTTAGATATTATAAATACAGAAGAATTTAGATACTAGATTAATTAGAATAAATAGTGTACATCTACAGTATTAGCAATAAGGTTAGAGTTAAAAAAACAGCAAGAATATAAGTTAAAGTTAATAAGAGAGGTTAAGTATAATTTAGTAAATTGAGATTGAAAAAAGCATTGCCAGTATGTTATAAGAATATGACTAGTTGAAGTGGTCTGTTTTTTTGCTTTACTTACTATTATTTAATCATTAATAGTAGTTATAAGCTATAATTTGGATTTTAAAGAAAAGTAGCTAATAGAAAAATAGTAATAGTTAATGTTTGGAAGATTATAGTGGTTATTAAGTGTTCTGTAAAGTTTATAATTAATTACAAGATCCTTAAGAGTTGTAAACTATAAAGATTTTTTTCCTCTAGAGATTTTGTGAAGTCTAGATACTTATTTTTAAAAGAATTTGGTATATGTAGAAATTTTAACAGATTACAAAATTTATCAATTATAAAAATTATAAATATAAGTAGCTATTTATTTTTTTTTATGATCTTTTCTTAACTCAAACTCAAATATAGGTGAATGATCTAATTTTTTACCTAGTGATTGGAACCGGGTAGGTATCACCTGGGTCAACCGCGGTTGGGCGGGTGACCCGGTTTAGATTTTAAAAAACCAGGTGGGTCAACCATGTGTCAACCGCGGGTCAACCTCGGGTCAACCGCAGGTCAACCATGAATCGACTTGTGGAACATTGATCAAAACGTGACCACTGACCAATTAAATTTGATGTGCCGGCAATCGGAAAATGTGCAAAGAGTACCAGGTGATCATGATTTACGAATTAGATTTCAATATTAGAGGTCAGTTAAAGCAAGGTGCGTTTACTAATTGACGTTTACTAATTGATCTACATACTGTGTGTTCTTGATATTTTTATAAATATAAATCATAAC